GTGTGTGTGGGGGGGTACTTGGTATAATCAAACAATATCTTATCCTGCAGATTATCCTCACTTTGTGTGTGTGTGTGGGGGGGTACTTGGTATAATCAAACAATATCTTATCCTGCAGATTATCTTCACTTAGTGTGTGTGTGTGGGGGGGCGGGTACTTGGTATAATCAAACAATATCTTATCCTGCAGATTATCCTCACTTAGGATATGATTTAACGTCGTCGAACGGATAAACGACATAGAAAATACTTGAATTGTGCACGTGGAACATGCATCAATATTTCATGACCAGCAAACGAAATGTTAAAGGTGAAATATAAATCAAGTGTAAGTCTGTGGTGATTGGATACAATTCGCTAATTGTTAGGGCTAGTAAGCCTATACCGTCACCTAAGATTAATTAGTATTTGTTGTTTATTATTTAGGTCACTGAATATTAATCAGTTTATTGAGGGAACCATATACTGTATATGGCAGCAGGACTCGAATCTCTGGTTTCTTGTTAGAAACACAAATGTGCTATAGCGTCTATTTAATTAGTAGTTACATGTTCGTTTTAGCTATTAATTATTGCAGCTTCAACTTCAAAGATAAGGAGTTTAATAATCAATAAAATATAATAGACGTAATGTTTGCGCATGACAAAATATGAAATTTATTGATTTATTGTTGGCCAAATCATTTTTCGATAGTCATGAATATTCTTCAAACGACAAAACTTATACGAGATATTTCACGAACAGAATATTAGGAGTGTTGTGTTAGCTTTAGTTATAATGTCATATGCTATCTGATTATCAAGACCCTTTTCATTAGAACCTTGAGGAATATCGAAAAATGTGGACATCTTTATCAGAGTTTGATAAAATTGTCTCGTTGCATGTTATGAATCCAAATATAACAGCATTTTAGTTATAGACAGAAATGTAAGCTTTGTCTCGAAGTTACCAGTGTAGCCTTTAAAATTGATCACTGATTTAAAGATTAAGAAACTCGTGGATCCACAGACATATGAAAAAGAAATTGTTAAAGAATACGAGTAACTCGTGTGATTACTTGACTTACAGCGTTAAGTTATCAGCTGCCATTCCTGTAGTTCACCTTCCAAGAAAAAACGATCACAGAAAAGTTAGTTAAGAAAAAACATAGT